ATCAAAAATGTGTTCTTATGAATAGAATATTTTTTCCAAAACCAGAATTTAAATTTGTATAACTTCTCTCCTTAGACTGATTTGGGGGAACAATTTTAAGTCTCAGAAATTCGATTCTGAGCTAACTTCTTTACAGTTCTGACCCGTTAGTAAAAAGACCCAGTTTATCCTTACCGAACCCCATTTGAAAACTGCACAGCGAAATGTTTACTTTAAACCACGTGTTAAGCGCGGTTTCACTGGTGACTGCTGGGCCATGAAATTCTATGAAGTGCAGCATCCATTCACTACCTGGGAGCTAATCCCTTCCTGGAATAACAGAGGCAAAGCTTAGGTGAACTTTATAAGCAGATACAGCTCAGAGAGAGGTATGATCACTGGTGCTGGGGTCACTCGTGGGGTTTCCCCCCTCATAGTATACATAAGCTGTGAAACAAGTATTTTAAATTCCAGCGCCATTTATGGGGCTCAAGGGTCATTCTCTATGATTACTTTTTAATGCTCTCGCCACAGAAAGCTTGGAATGGTATCATAATTTCACCTTCCTTTTAAAGCATTTGGGCCCCTTTTCCATCTCTCTTTAATCCAACAAATATTTATTGAGCCCTGAGTGGGAATATTTATTGTCCATAAAACAGATGCATGGCCCTAGAAGGTCATGTGACTGTTGTGTTGGCATGTCCTTTAGGACAAGTGTCCACACCTCAAATGGCAGCCAGAGCCGTCACACGGAGTCACCTCCAAAGCATCTACAGGATTTATAAACTTGACACCCAGAACTAGTTCAGGTTTTGCCTTTTGAACATACTTTTAATAATAATAATAATAATAACTCTTTGCCTTTGAAAACAATTTGTAGCTCATAAACATTAAGATGACCAATCAGCTTTAATTTGTTGGCATTGCACGGGCAGATCTCACGGGAATTTGGCGGCTCACTGGGCTCCTTCACGGCCTCCACGCCTTTCTAGTTGGTCACCTGCCGGGGCTCTGTGAGCCTATATCACACTGTGAATTTCTCATTGATATTTATTGACTGGATTTTGTTTTTTCTGTTTTATTGGGGATGATTGTTATGCTTCCTTAATTAAAAATAAGTAAATAAAGTGTCTCCACGGAGATTTCACTTGTCACACAAGAATGATCCGTGCAGTTTCTTGTCCGTAGTAACTGTGTCCTCCCGTGTAACTTCTCTCTTTAGCAACTGGAACTGTGTCAGAGGTTATATAAGCTCCACTTCCAGCTGCTGTTGCTTTTCCAATCCTACTGTAAGCTCATTGGCCAGGTGCATGAAGTCAGTTCCATGCCCCAGGTAAGTCTGCACAGCCTGCCGAGTCTTCCCGGGAAATCAGGGCTGGTCTTTTGCTCTTGTCCCTCTTGGGTTTGTAACTCTTCAGGCGATTTCACTCTCACATAAGTGTTTTCTTCACACACTAGCTTTCAAATAAATGTGTCTCATATTTATCTCCAGACCCGTTTTTAAGGGGTTTTCTGGCGCAGGGTCTGAATTAGGGTGAAGCAAGGGAGGCATCAGTGCTGACCCTGACAGAGAGGCCTCCTTAAATGTGGTGCTCTGGGC